GGCCATTTGGGGACCCATAACTTGGCTTTTACCTCGTGGTGTTTATGTACTTTTAATAATGTCCGATACTGTCTCGAGTCCGCAAAGGTTCTCGCGAAGGCCCCTGCTGCGAACGAGTCCTTCCTTCTGCCTCCCAAAATCGCCATAGCATTTCGCGACGTGCATGGGTGTCGAGATAGAGAGGAGTGTCTCTCTCTCTCTTTCTCTCTCTCATTCTTTCATTCTCTCATTCTTACTTTCTTTCATTCTTTCTTTCTTAAGCTTCGCACGCGCCCGCCCTACGAAATCGGACACCGTGCACGTCCTCGTCCTCGTCCTCGAATCGCGTTGGCACATGTTAACAGGACTTTAAAGTTTTATTAATAAGGATAAATCAGAGACGCCCCGCGGATGAAGTTGTCGGTGCCACGGTCGGGTTAGCCTATAATTCGGCAGGGGGTTTTGTGCAACCGACCGAGACGAAACGGCGACTATGGGGAAGTGGGGAGGGGTGAAGGAGAAAGGGGCTGAGGGAAAGGGGAGACAGAAGAGGAGGAGGAGGAGGAGAAGGAGGAGAGAAGGTGCAGCGACATGCCGGTTTACGAGCATTGCCCACAATGTCGTGCCCGGTGCAACGCGAAGACGCGCAAAGATATTTATCGTCCTGCGCCGAGCGCGTCGAACCTTTCCTTCGGATTCGTCTCTCTCTTTCTCTCTCTCTCTCTCTCTCTTTCTCTACTTTTTATCTCATACGCAACCGATGCGGAAAGGTGGATCTCTCGCATTCTCCGACTTAGCGAGTCGGCTTGCAAGTCAGTCCTGTAAATTCTCCGCTACTGTCATAAGTCGGGAGCTTAAAGGGTTAATTTGCGTGCGTTCACGGTGGAACCCTTATCGGCTCGCATAGTAAACGAAAATTACTCCGCTCCGAACCAACGAGAGTGTATGTGTGAGAGAGAGAGGGAGAGAAAGAGAGAGCACCGACACGTCCGTAATTTCGTTTCCTCCTCTTCCTTGGTCAACCCAACGAAGAGAAACGAAAGAAAAAACGAGAGAGAGAGGGAGAGAGAGAGAGGACGCGTCGAAGGAGAGCGGGGTAATTACGCAAGTCAGAGTATATCGGTGGCGACGAAATTCCAAGAAGTTGGAAGAACCGTAAAGATTTCAACGACCTTCTCTTTCCAGCTAGCTTGTGCTCAGTGGCGTAGCCGCCAACTTCAACTTCCTCGAGAAAATGCTGTTCAATTTTTCTCCTAATTAGCGATGGTCACGATCGATCGACAAAGGAACCCCAAAAAATTCGATCCTGCCTAAGAATAATCGAATCCTACGAACAATCATAATCCAAACGTTAAGAAACAAGAGAAAATCCGATAAGTCCCAGAGATGTCAGAATCGCGTTGTGACGTCCAAAAGGCTACCACTACTACTACTACTACTACTACTACTACTCGGCAGCTAAGGGGCCCCATGGAATTATCCTCCTGTAAACACCTACCTAATTAAGATTGGAACATTTTAACGTCCTGTTCGGGTAGACTAATAAAGCCTCTAACGTACGGTCAGTTTGTTAGGCGCTTATGGGATCGTTTAATTAATATTGGCGTCCGAGCAAGCGCGCTTGGTTCCAACGAGCGACCACCTCCGGTGTCTCCTCGTCGTCGTCGTCGTCCTCGTCGTCATCATCTTCGTCCTCATCCTCGTCGTCGTTGTCGTCATCGTCCCGCGTGCGCACGATTCCCAACAACCTAACAAATACCTACCGATAATCTTTCACAAAAAGTTAAAAAGAATAATAGGAAAAAAGAAATGGCGACACGGGTACCAAGAGTTTAACTAACCTTTTTATCCCCCCTCACCCCTTCCCTCCCACCTCCCTCACCTCTGATGCCAACCAACCTTCTTCTTCTTCTTCTTCTTCCTTCCCGTAAGAGATTCTTCCTCCCCCAAAGGTCTTCCTCCTCTCGGAAGATTCGAAACTGAACGAAGAGAAGCTGGTACACGACGGCAGCCGAAAATTATCCCGGGTTGGACCACCCAGTCCGAGTGGTGGTGGTGGTGCTGCTGCCAGACCAATCTACCCGTGCACGGAGACTAATCGAGCTTCGGAGTCTCTCGGTTCGACACGGTGGTGGGGCTAATTGCAGCTCACCACCTTCGTACCTTCCTCGTATCCTACCTCGTACCCTACCTCAGTGAGAGAGGTCGACCTCTCTATTAAGAAACTTTTACGCAAGTGCATTTCGCGCCGCTCCACGCTGCAACGCGCGTCACGTATTAAATTGACCGGTGCCAACGCACTTTTTTCTTCGATACGAATCTTTCCTCACCGTCTTCTTCTTCTTACACTTTGCTCCTCCCCCTTCTCACCCTGTCCGTACCCCATCCCCCTCCCGCCCTCCCTCCCTTCCCGACCCTCTTTCGCCGCGAGATATTTTTCAAATTACCCTTTACCTACCTCTACTCGTGTACCGATCTTTTATTTCTACCTTCTTTTGGATTATTTCTTTGGTGGATATTATGGTTACCCACACTTACCTATCTGTCTACATATATATATATATATATATATATATATATATATATATATATATATGTAGGATATATGTGTATCCTAAAGGGAAAAGGAACTAAACGTTTACCCTCGGAGGATAAATACAGGATGATAATGCTTTTAAAGCAGACCGCCGCGGCACACGGCTTTTAATCTCGCTAATTTTCGCGCCTAATAAACGTCCGTTAATCGGATCGTCGAACCGTTTCCAAAAAGGAACGCGTGGAAAAGTAAACAGATTGTAAAGATCGTCGTCCCTCCCCCCTCCCCTCACCCCCTACTCCTCCTCCACCTTTTTGCCCATTTTACTGCTTCCGCTATCGTCCTCGTCCATAGGTTATGCACCAAGGAAAGTATGCGCGAGCTAAGATACGACGAGAGTCTCGAATATCTTCTGAGTTTATGGCTACGCCAAATTCCAACTTACCCTTTCCTACCATTTTTTTCTTTTCTCATTCCCCTCTTAACTTTCTCTATCTCTCTTTCTCTCTTTCTCGAATCTTCCTTGGTTCAGAGTAAAACTATTTTATAGGTGATGTTAGACAGAAATTCTTTATTGCCCCCTTCGCGACTTCTTTTCGTACGTAAAATTAAATTACACCTAAAAGCCCGTGTTCTACACGAGCCACGAGAACGTACGGTTCTCTTCCTTATTCTTATTCTTATTCCTTTTCCTTTTCTTTTTCCTTTTCCTTTTCCCCCAGATACGATTTCTTATTTTATTTTCAATTTTTATTCTTCGAAGCTATTAACACTCTTATCCGAGAAACAAATAAATCCTCGGAGTCGAGGATTACACACAAACGTGTATTTATTTTTCTTTTTCTTTTTTTTTTTTTCATTTAATTAACTATCATTTATCTCATGGTTTTCATTAGAAATCGTAATACTTAACTTACCTTTTAATTTTCGATAATGGATAAATGGATAATCTTGTATGTTGGAAAACAGGATAATTTTGTCTGAAATCCCATAAATAAATGTTCAACTATCCGTTTGTATTTTTTTGTTATTTTTTTCTTTTTTCTCTTTTTTTTTCTTTTTTTTTTTAAATATCTATGATTCGTTCATTCGAAGTATACAGTAAATGAGTTAAATTATCGTTTGCATCGTATGGTTTAATAATTGATAACCAATTACGACGACGATTCAAGTTCGCGACTACCATCACGCGCGTTAAACGTAATCTATATTATGCATGAACCGTATCAGTCTTATGTACAAATGTAAAGAAGAATGATAAGAACGATAAAGTAATTCACTTGATTTAATATTTCGCTTGCTTATTAACTAAAAGAATAACAACAAAAAATCTTTCGGTAAGATATTAAATTCAAATTGATAATATTTATATACCGGATGAATCGTATAAAACAAGCTATCTTAATATAACTCTTAATTAGTATCGAGACAAAAATTTACATAATTTCGTATTAACGCTTTCAAGTCAGACGATTATTTTTCTCTAAATACATTTCTTAACGTCACCAACGTATTATCGCTGAACGCGGTAACAGTTTATTAATAGTTTTGATTTATTAAACAAAATATATTTTTTAACAATTATATCTATATACTTTCGTTACCATCCATGTGAATTAAGTAAGTTTCATTTCAAATCCTTTTTTTTTTTTATCTCTAATAACAATCGAGATATTCAGGAGGCTTGTTTTATGCTTCACCTGGTATAATAAAAAAAAAAAGAAAAGATAGAAGAGAAAAAAAAAGGAAGGAAAAAATATATAGGCTAGGTATATTAGATGTGCAAGGAACTCGTATGCACTTATATTATATACGAGTAGTAAGCATACCTATGCAGAATGAATATGCTGGAGATACTTGGAAAGCTTTAAGTGAAAAAATTAACGACCTCTTTCATTAACGCTAATGGTAAGCTAAGAAGAATAAACGTTACCTTCTCATCTCTACGAGTCGATAATATAACTAATCGTACAAGACGACGTTGTTAAAAATAATTGCTTACGGTACAAAGAAGATAGTAGAAAAACATCGATTATAATAATATTTATAGAATTAAAATCCTCAATAAAGACCGTGAGAACTTTTCTATTATTTACATCTCGTTTAAACGTATTATCGAATAAGGTAATAATTACTAATATGAAGAATATATCTTGTCTATACTTAAAAACGGTATAAAATGATACTAATAAAGTTAAGATATAAAATATAAAATCACAAAATGCTTGCTGATATTATAAAACAGTAGGTAGGACGATGGACCAGGGGGTGTTGGAGGAGAGGGGAGAGGAAATCGGTTAATCTATCGTTCGTTCTCATAAAAGCTAAGCCCGCAACGTGAACGTAATATCATTTACATCGACGATGATAATAATATCAAGCCAGTATAAATAAAAAGTGATAAGTGTGTTCCGCAACAAATAATAATAATAATAATAATAATAATAATAATAATAATAATAACATAATATATTTAGTATCGCGAACGAGAAGAGGAGTAGGAGGGGAATAATAATAATAAAAGGAATATCATTAACGACAAGTATTTACGGTAGTCTTTACGAGACAAGTTTCGCAAGTGACCTCGCAACAATATCTGAACCTACATTGACAATTGACCTTTTCCTTGACTATCCTCGTATCGTATCCTCTACCGCAACATAAAAGTTCGCAACCTTCTACGCCAGGACTCGAAGAATTGCATCGGCGACCGACAGTACCGAGAGATCCCGTTTTACGATTGGGCTTGCAGAAATCCGGTGAGTCCTCGCTATAAATCAGATCGAATCTACCGGGTGGCTTGATGGTCGGGCCCTCGGTGATGAAGCTGTGCCCGTCGTTGCTCGGTATCACCTTGGCCGCCCCGTCGAACGACTCCTTCAGACGATTGCCGACCTCGCGAAAGGACGGCATCTTTCGCCAACAGGTGCGCACGCTGCACGAGCCCGACAGCCCGTGGCACTTGCATTCGATCGTCATGAAGTTCCTCACCGCCTGTGTGTTGTCAAATACCGTGCCCGTCAAACACCATATCCGTCAAACGAGACATTTTCTCTCTATTGACCACCACCCCACCCCACCCCACCCTCAAGTCTTACCAAACTTTCTATTTTACTCCCCTTCCACTTACCAAACGTCCAGCTGCATTGTTGTGAAGTTTGACCAAGGTTTTGATGTCGCTGCGTTTCCTATAAGGCGCGTCCATGAAATCCTTCGACTTTCGAAAACCAAAATTGACGTTGTCACCGCATCCACCCCATTCCCATTCACCCTCTGTCAAAAGATTCTTCTTAACGTCGGCGGTTAGCGCGAGTTTGCCCAATCGATTATTTCCTGAAAATAACGAGTATACTTTGGATTTAGGGTTTAACTAGGATCACGATAAACTAGCTCTCTCTCTCTCTCTCTCTCTCTATATATATATAGCTACAAATTCGAGGAGAGATAATCGAAGAAAGATACGATTCGATCGAACCGTTTCAAAAGAGAAACTCTAATGAGGGTAGGTAGGGGGCACAAGCATCGAATTTAAAGGGCGCGTTAGGGTTTGCTGCCAAGGAAATATAAATCGTTTTACCATGGAATAGGGAGAAGAGAAAAAGGTGAAGGAGGAGGAGAAGGCAGAGGAGGCACAGGAGGAGGAGGAGAGAATTTTATCTGTGGGACAAGCTTTTACCCTTCGTCGTCATCTTATCGCATGAACATTCCACAAGGTCACCCATGGTACAGGCCCTGGTAACCGCATAAGTAACTCCAGCGGCGGTGATGGCGTTCACGAAGCCAGTCTCCCTGGTATCTGAAAGCATCGAAAGGGGGGAATCCAGAATCAATTAATGGACTCTTGTTAAGGGAGCGAAATCCTCGACGTAAATCACTGATCGAAGCGGAAAGAAGAGACGCGTGTCTCTGCGTGCATGCGTGAATGTATTAGTGAGCGAGTGCGTGTCCCTGGGTGCGTGTCTCTCCGTGCGTGTCTCTCTACGTGCGTGTCTCTGCGTGCGACGAAGAAGCTTTAAAAAACGGTCAGAAGGCTACGCGAATACTCAAAGAGGGATCGAAGAGAATGCCGTGAGATAAAAGTAAAAGAGGGACGTTGGGAGAAGAAATGAGAGAGAAGAAGTAAGAAGAAGAAGAGGAAGAGAGGAGAGGAGAGTTTCTACTCTTGCAGGCGGAAGAAACAGGTTGAAGGAGGAGAAGGTCGCGGAATCTTGGATCGGCCAAGAAACAAATCGGATTACGCGTCTTCTTCTTCGTCGTCGTCCTCCTTCTCCTCTTCCTCTCGGAGTGCACATAAATACGAAAGATCGCTACCCCGCATGCTGCATTTGGCCCTCTCCCTCCCTCGCTTCGATCTTACTCGCGCGGGGTGAATCGATTAATTAGCTTGCTTGCTTGCTTGCTTACTCGTTCGTTTGCTTTCCAACTTTGAAATATGCCGGAGAAGAAGAAGAAGAAGAAGAAGAAGAAGAAGAGAGTCGTAGAGATCGAGACAAACGATAATTCTTATTCCTTTTACGTATACGTTAGATAGCTCAAGTCAATCTCTGCGTATACCTAATACTTTAAATAAACAGAGTATATTATCTATCACGATACGACTCGTCACCGTGAATTGTCTAATCTTTTAACGAATATACGGCTAATTAGCATTAGTTTCGAATGAGAATCGAGAAGAGAAGAGAAAATAAATAAATAAATAAATAAATAGTAGGGATGGGGGAGGAAGGAATCGAGTAAAGGAAGAAGAAGAAATGGTCGAATTGGTAAAAATTCTCGGAATGTTTCTTCGAGAGTATCCGTTGGATTATAACCGAAGGATGGTTTCGAACCGTGCGATAAGACTAATTACGGCGGTAAATCGGTAAAGGGTGGACCGAATATCGGAGGCACCTTCTTTCGTATCCTTACCAAGATGCTTTCCGGCAGACTGCACGGGGGAATTTGGATATCGAGTTGCCGATTTCTCAGGTGGTTCTGTGACGCGGGTGGCAAGCGAACCCGCGGGTTCAATGTCGAATAAGGTCTTCTTCTCACAGCATATAGCAAGATATATATATGTATAGTTTGTTCGGCTCCCACGCGAATAGACCACTGAATTTAAAAAAGAAAACAAGAACGAGTAAGGAGTCTCTCGTTCGTTGCTAACGAAATATCCTATTCCGTTTCACCTGTCACGTCTCCACTCCATCATTAAACGAACAATAAGAGTAAAAGAGAGAGAGAGAGAACTGCTCTCGAAGTAGTCGTGCACCCCTTTTATTTTTTAAAAAGAACCAGGATCGCATTTTGCCTCCACCGGTGGGCGTTCGTCGTTCGAACGTTCGTCCTATTCTCAATCTTTTCTTTCTCATATATATATTCTCTCACTCTCTCTCTCTCTCTCTCTCTCTTTTCTTACTTTCATTGCTATACATATAACAGCAATAAGCATCCGGGCTTTTGCGAATCTCCGCGACGCCCACTTCTTTTTTCAACCTTTTAACAGGATCCGCGTCGATCCCCTTTTTTCCATCTCACTTTCCTACATTCCTTCATTCTTTCTTTCTTTCTTCCTTTCTTTCTTCTGATATACACGGTGGTGGTGGTGGTGGTGGTGGTGGTAAAAAGGCACGCGGGAGAGAACAGTGAAAGAACTCTATACCAAAGGGAGTAGTTTGGCCTTTTCATCGATCTCAAACTCGCACGGCCATTACTCGTGGATTCTCACGCAAGTATCTCGCAAGAGAAGCTAAATATCGCGGCGTGGATCGAAAATAACCAGAATGAAAAATACAAAATAAAAAGATGAAGAAGAATAAGAAGAAAAAGAAGAAAAAGAAGAAGATGGAAGGAAGGAAGGAAGGATCGATAACGATCTTACAATGGATTGTTCCAATGCGTAGGTGTGTCCAGAAGCTTCGATCATCATTGATCGTCGATCGACTATCCGAGTGACGACGAGCCGATGATGATCGGAACCGCGAGAATTTCAAACCAATGAAAAAAGATATCGCGGCTGCCATACTTGCGCTCGCGCGAACACGAACACACGAGCTCTATCATCTCGACCGTATGTGTGGCCAAGATAAAAAAAAAAAAAAATAAGAGAAAGAAATAAAGAAACAGAGAGAGAGAGGGGGGAGGAAGAAGGGTATGGGATGGGTGGGAGGGGTAAAGGGAGGAGGAGAAAAAAAAGGGCTGAGAAGGAGTCGTACGCGTTAAGCTTGATTCTTCGTGGTTCCCATGGATTCCAGGCGGGTATCTTCGGTGCGGATCGACGGCGGGACGAACGGGACGGGACGGACACGGACGGACGGACAGACGGAGCGAAGACGTAGGCCGAAGGAAGCTGCCACCGCCCGCGTATCTTCTGATGCATCGCCTCACCTTTCAGTGCGTATTTAAACGATACGATAGTTTTATACGAGCGATCTGATATCGAGGTTCGAGAGCGAAAGGTCCATTCCCTTTCCCTACCCTTTCCATTCCCTTCCCTTCCCTTCCCATCCTTTACCTTCTCCTTCCCATTCTCCATCTTCAAAGTCTCAACTCCCTACGACTACCTCGATCCTCGAATCACGTCGGCCTTTTAACATGACGGAAGCAACCGTTCCCCCCCCCGCCGCCACCCCCTCCCTCCCTCTTGTCTACCCCGTTTGCACGATTTCTCGATCATTTACCCAAATTCTTCTCTTCTCTTCTCTTCTCTTCTTTTTTCTTCTCTTCTCTTTTCTTTTCTTATTTATTTTCGATAAACTTGCAACTCAAAGTAATGAAAAAAAGAGTTAAGCGATGAAACAAAATGCATTTAAGTAGCGGAATTTTGCAAGAATTAAAAGGTGCACTCGGTAAACATCTCCGGTGGTGCACCTTGGGATATCGAACTAAGATCGTTGAAAAGTTAAAACCCCGATGATCAAAGAAAGAAAGAAAGACAGACAGACTGAGTGAGTGAGTGAGACAGAGAGAGAGAGAAAGAGAGAGAGAAAGAGAAACATTAATTCCCAAGTAACATGCCTGAATTATCATAACATCTCGAATGGTAGAAACGAGTAGAGTTCCATACACGCGCACGAACGACGTAAGAAAGTCGTTTCGTTCACCATCGAGATTTTTTTTTATTTCCCGTACGGTCGATCTTACGGGACGACACGCACGTCCGTCTCCTTCTTCTCTCGTTGTTCTTCCTTCCTTCCTTCCTTCCTTTCTTCGTTCCTTCGTTCGTTCGTTCGTACGTACGTTCGTTTCTTCCTTGTGGTCCCAAGCGAATGGGGGTTTCAAACAGAAAAGGAGAATGGAAAGAGATCGGAGAATGCTCCTCGAGGTGTAGAGGAGCACCGGGTAATATAAATCACTTCGAATCAATTAGACACTAGGGATCGCGAGCCGATGATCTTCCACTGCTTCTCTCTCTCTCTCTCTCTCTCTCTCTTTCATTCCTTCTTTCTTTCTTTCTTTCTTTCTATCTCTATCTATCTTTCTTTCTTTGCCAGGTGCAGGTTCTGTCTTTCCTTCCTCCTGTCCCCTCCTCCTCTATCTTCGGTCCTCTCTTCTTCTTCTTCTCCTTCTTCTTCTTCTTCTTCATCTTCTTCTTTCATTCTCCTCTTTCCACCAACTCGTTCCGACGGCTCGGCCAATTATCAACATTCCGGGGCATTATCCTCCGAGCGAGACTTACGCCGTGTTTAATTGCGAGTCTTCTCATCTTTCTTTTCTTTTCTTTTTCTTTTTCTTTCTTTCGTTACTTTTTCCTTTTTTTTTATTTTTAACATTTTTTGTTTTATATTTCCTTTTTTTGTTATACAGGATCCACGTACATTCTATCCTCGCAGCACGCGGAAGAATAATTTCTCCGATAAAAAGGAAAAGAAGAAGAAGAAGAGGATTAAGATGATATAACGATCTAGGTAATGGAGCAATATTCGAGAACAAATAATCGCCAGGTGACAAATGTTCGATAAAGTTGCGAATAAATTCTCCAGGCTTGTGCCCCTATATCTGTATGCGTGCGTGCGTGCCTATGTAAGCGAACGGTACTACAAAAACAAAATGATCCGAGAAAATGATCGCACCATATATTTCAATGTTCTTTTTCCAATAATTTAGTCCAACGCTTTTTGTTCGAGAAAAAGATCGAGCAAAAGTAGAAGAAATGGAAGAAGGGAGGATTAAAAAAAAGATTGTTCGAACGGAAGGCAGAAAAGTAAAAAAAGAGTGAGTGAAATAAAGAAAGAAAGAAAGAGAGAAAGAAAAGGAAACATTTTATCGACGTTCCGTAAGAAAATCTACGATCGTTCTTTCGAACGAGAGGATGTCAGAAGGTTTGGTTCGTCCTTGTAGCTAGCTAGCTAGCAGGCCGATCTTCTCGTCGATCGTGTGCACACCATTTATGGTGGAAAAGAAATTATAGCGACGACTACTATTCGCGACTTACTCGCCGCTAACTTGAATGTTATCCACGACGATTACCTCGGTTCTCTCTTTCTCTCTCTCTCTCTCTCTTTCTTTCTCCTTTTTTTTTACCCTCTGTGTATATCGCAATAAGCGCACGCTGACATATGCATAAATATCCGCGGTGCATCCTTTATCGATGCGCGTTACCCGCAAAGACTGCTGCTGCTACGGCAACGTAAGAAACGTGGAATGCAAATTCCATCCACATGAGAAATACGAAAAAGAGAAGAAAGAAAGAAATAAAAAAAAGAAAATCAAATAAGACGAGGCAAATCGATCCCCCCCTTTCCCCGGTCCCCAGCCACTGTTTAATCAAACGTTTTTAATTCGCAAAATTGACGAATACAATTAAATATTAATCGTTCTAATGACA